TGTTTAATCGATTGAGAATCTTCGATCGATCGAGAATGTTGCTGGCAGTGAGCTGTCTAATTCCCGAGCAGGACGATCTCTACCTAATTTGTGTAGCTGTGAATCTCCTCGAATCATAGGCTGTATTTCTAACTTGGTGCCTACTCAAAGAGGCTTATAATTCATTCATTGAACCATATTGTAAAATATCTTGATAGAATTCTCTTAGATAAAAAAAAGAAGGAATTTGGGAAGAAAGCAAGGATGAAGATGATGATGCCAACCTCCAAGCTAGCCCTTGAGGGTTCCATGACCACTACAATGAGTGGCTAAATCCTTCTCTTAGGGCTAAAGATAGCCCCTAGGCTTGCTTCCTAAACTTAGCTTTTGTGTATTTTTGGTGATTTTAGTTGTGATAGATGTTTTGACCATGAATAAATATAGATCTTATAATTTTTACTTGATTTGTATAGATTAATGCTTTCAATTGGTCATTTAGTTCTATCCATATGTCTATGTATGCTATAATTGATATTCATGTTCTTGTCTTTAGATTTAATGAAATTGATGCATGTCTATGTGTGTTGATGTTGTAAATCTAGTGATGGTCAAGGCATGGTGCTTAATTGAACACTCTTATGGTTTATTTAATGGTTCATACTCATTTCGTGATGGATTGTGCCATACCTTGAGTTTAATTAGCTTAATTTTCATGTCACTAGTTTAGTTGTAGTGTAATTGCGTTAATTTCTTAGGTAGGTGGACAATCCATTCTTTTTGTTTAATGTTCCATACTTATGAGTGCAAAGAGTGCATTTCTCTAGACTTTTGTGTATGCACTAATTGTGTTTTAATTGAATGGTTATTGGTCTTATTTGATAGGTCGTGTTATTCACTAGATTGAGTAGATAATCTATGCTTATTTGCCATCCATCATGCTTTATTTTCTATTAGTGACACATACACACATTTTACAACTTAAATTTTTCCATTAATTTACAATTGCTAGTGTTTGGTGAAGTGAAGCTTAGTGGTGAACTCTAAGCCCCAAGACCTATCTCTCATATATCTTTCCCTAATTTCTAGATTGTTACTTACTTGCATTGTTTTAGTTAAATCTTAGTTTAATTAATCAATCAAACCATCTTTTGATCATTCTACCTACTAATCCAACAATTAATTCGAAAGCACGGTTCCTTTCCCTTGGGACTATCCCTACTCACTCTAGCTACTTTAATAGTTAATAGTGGTAGTGGCATTCTATAAATTCAAACTTGGCCACATTTTATTTCACACAGCACACTCTTATTGTAACTAGGTATTGATCGACACCAAATTTTGGCACCATTACCGGGGATTGGCAACACCATATTTTGGGAATCAATTAGGAATTAGTATTCTTTTGATCTTGTCTATATTTTGGTTACTTATTGTGTTTGTTCTTGATTGGCTAGGTCATTGAGCCAAGAGAAGTGAAGCAAAATGTGTCTAAAGCAAAAGAAGCAAGCTAAGCTAAGCAAAGCATATAAAGCTGGAAAAAAAATTAAAAAAATTGCAAAGCAAGGCAAGGCAAAGAAAAAATTGAAAAATAATTTGAAGTTGCTTAAGGACCCTTTGTGAGCTTTTCTAACTCTATCTCTAGTTAAATCGTCGCCCGCGTGGTGGCAAGTCTTTATTTTCTTAGATAGATCGTGAGCCCACGTGGAGGCAATTTATTTTTCTTGCATATTGTTGAAAACATGGGAGTATGGGATCAATGTATGTGAAGGATTGTTGTTGATTAATTTGTTGCGGAGAAGAAGTGCTTGCTACGTGCTTGTTGTTGAGTTATTGTTTGTTTTGATTATGCATGCATGGTTGTAGGTCATTAAATTCTACTCTTGTCCCACTTAATTTGAATCTTGAATCCATTATTCGTAATCCTATGGGAAGGGGTAATTCTAGTGACTCCATTTCATCAATAGAGGAACATAATGAGGTCTATTTGGAGGACTTTAGTCACATCGACCAACAAGGTATTCTTCACCCTAATGTACATCATAATAACATCCAAGTACCATTAGGCATGCCAACACCTTTCATTCCACAACAACAAGGCCAAATTCCATTGGGAATGCCTCGGCTATTTTTTGTTCCACCCCCACCTCTCGTTGTTCAAGTAAATTATGGTGCTCGTGTCGAGCCACTGGTTGGGAATCCTCCTCTTGCTTTAAGAGATCATTATATGCCAAATGAGTATAATGTACCAACATGCATTCAATTACCTCGATTTAGAGCACACCATTATGAGATTAAACCACAAACAATTCAAATGCTTCCCAATTATCATGGGCTACCAAGTGAAGAACCTTACAAGTATTTGGATGAGTTTCTTGAAGTGTGTTCCACCGTGAAATACACGGACATGCCATAAGAAGTTTTGAGGCTTAAACTCTTCCCTTTTACCCTTAAAGATAAAGCAAAATACTGGTTTAACAATTTGAGGCCTTTTTCGATAACTTCTTGGGCAGAGATGCAACAAGTGTTCTTGAAAAAGTACTATCTGGTATGAAAGACCAATTCAATGCGAACTTCAATTCGAGAATTCTCACAAGGGGATAGGAAATTGTTTCATGAGGCATAGGAGTGATTGAATAATTTTCTTAGGAAGTGTCCACATCACGACATTCCTAAATGGCAATTTGTTCAATTTTTCTTTGAAAGTTTGTTGGATAATTTTAAAGGTATGGTTGATGCTTCCATGGGTGGTTCTTATATTGATAGGCATGAAGATGATGTATGGCGCTAATATGAGAGCATGAGTGAGAATTCAATGCATCGATCTTTGTCATCTAAAATTTGTAGAAATATAGGTGGAAGGAAGAATGTCGGCTTATATGAAGTTGACAATTCCAATGCTATAGCCGCCGAAGTGAAATTTTTATCCCAAAGGTTTGATCAATTTTTTATCAACCAAAATTTGGTGAATCAAGTGTCTTCCTCCCCTAATCATACTCATCATCCTTCCAATGAATCATCTATGACTTGTTCTAGTGTTTTACATTTTACTTCCAATTGTCCCCATAGATATGTGCAAAGTGAGCACCATGAACAAGTGAATGCAACTTTTGTTAACCAAGGGAATAATCCCTATGGCACTCATTACAATTTCGGGTGGAGGAACCATCCATACTTCTCTTGGAAAAGCCAAGGGGAAGGCTTAAACCCTCCCTAAAGTGGTTTCCAAGGCCAGTATATTCCGCCCCCAATGCAAAGCCAAGGTTCCTAAGGTTATCGTTCATCTTATCAAGCATCACATGGTAACCAATTTTCAAACTCTCATTTCCCAAAACAATCTTTATATTCTCAAGGAAATTCAAGGAGTCCCATATTTGAAGAAAAAAGTTTTAACCGCTTTGGGAACTTTGGAGGCAAATACCCAATTGCTTCATTCTCATTCTCAATCGATTGCGAAGCTAGAAACCCATGTCAGACAAATATCTAGTACATTAAATGGTAGAGAAAAAGGGAAGATGCCTTTGAATCCACCACCCAAGCAACAATTTGTTATGGAGACCAATTCCTCTTCGGAAGGTCGAACACTTGAACATGTGAATGTGGTGACCACTTTGAGAAGTGGAAGAATTGTGGATAATCAAGTTGGTGAATCAAATGAAGAGAGTGAACTGGTGCAACCAAAAGTTGACACCCGTCCCGTCTCACATCCTATTCCACCTTCATTACATTTGAAAAATTCTTGTGTTGAAAATGCTTCTAAAAAGGATTTTGAAAAAGTTTTTGAGACTAAGGCTCCATTTCTGGATGCCTTAAAAGGATCCAATTCTCTTAAAAAAACAACAAAATAAGGCTAATGAAATCATTGAAGTGTGTAGGCAAGTGAAAATTAATCTTCTTCTCTTGGATGCAATTCGACAAATTATAGCCTATGCCAAATTTTTGAAAGATCTTTGCACCCTTATGAGGAAGAACAAAAGTCAAGCACCGAAGAAAGTTGTTTTAACCGAACAAGTAAACTCCATTTTGCAACACAACATTCTCCCAAAATTCAAAGACCCCAGTTCACCTGCTACTTCTTGCGCCATTAGTGATCATGTTATTAATCGGGCTCATTTGGATTTAGGAGCGAGTGTTAATCTTCTTCCTTATTCAGTTTATGTTAAATTGGGCTTAGGTGATTTGAAACCGACATCGGTAGTTTTGCAACTAGCCGACTGATCAATTAAGAAGCCTCGGGGTATCTTTGAGGATGTTTTTATTAAAATTGACAAGTTCTTCTTCCCGGTTGATTTTATTGTCATTGACATGGAACCGGTCCCAAATCCTAAGAGCCCAATTCCCGTTATCCTTGGCCGTCCTTTCTTGGCTACCACTAATGCTAACATTAATTGTAGAACGGGGATAATGAAAATTTCATTTGGCCACATGAAGGTGAAGTTGAACATTTTTAATACAACCCCCACTTCCATGGACAAGCATGAAGATGTATGTGTTGTTGAAAAATGTCTTGAAAGTGAATTTGAAAAAAATGAATTTTTTCTTGATGTTGGAACTTCAAATGGTTTATCTTTCAAAAAAGTTCCAAAAGATGTTGATTTAAAACCAAGTGTTGAAAGGGCATGGAAGCCCAATAGTTTCATTGACAAAAGACCTTCAATCTCATTTGAATCAAATCTAACAAGTTCCTTAGGAAATGGTTTGTTGGGTGGGATTCAAAATTCCATTCACCCTGTCAAGGAGGGGATGCATAACAAGATTTTTTATCCAGGCTAAAAGAGCCCAACGTCTTACTAGAGACGTTAAAGACTAGTGCATTTCGTAGGGTTTCCCAACCCTATTCCTCCCTCATTTCTGGTTTTTATGTTTTCTGTGTCGTCTAAATATGAGTTGAATTGAAAAATCCGGCTTACGGGCCATTTTTTGCATTTTGTGCACTTCCAGTGAGGTTTTGATCAATCGAACTTTAGTTCGATTGATCGAAAGTCCACTTCGATCGATCAAACCCACTGAATTGAGGACTTTTCAAATTCCATTTTGACTGATCAAAGTTTGTTCCAATCGATCGAAATACATTTCAATCGATCAAAGCCAAAAGTTCAATCGATCAAATTCATTCGATCGATCGAAATTGCGTCTTTTCAATTTCTGGAAAACCCTTTGGCCGTTCAGTTCCTAAAACTTAATTTTATTTTTCTTTTTCTTTTCTCTCTCCTCCTCCCCTATTTTTCTTTTCTTTTTATTTTTCTTTTTCTTTTTCTTTCTTTCTTATCTCTATTCCTCCTTCTCATTCTCTTCGTTTTCTCTCGGCCGAACCCTCTATCTCTCCCTCTCCCAATTCGCCACTTTCTGTCTCTCTCAACCTCCCTCAATCTCTCACTCTCTATCACAACTACCACCACTCCACCTCCCTGCTCAAGCGCTGGTAAACCTCAAGCGGCCAAGCTTCGCTGCCATCTCCATAGAATCCGCCGGCGGAATAATTGGCCCCAAGGCCAAATCCCCCCATCTAATCCCTCTTTTCTCTTTCAGGTAGCATCAAAGACATTATCTCTGGCCGATTTAGGTCAAGGAGACCTCGAACTAAGCTCCGGCAAGCTCTGCAATTTTCGACAAGACTCCAGCGAGTCTCTAGTCGTCTTCTCTAACCACGGTTGGTCGAATTTTTTTCCAGAATTTCCCGAATCCCTTTGTTTTATCCTCTTCTTCATTCCTTTGGGTTGGGTATGTTCCGAATACTTTTTATTTTTATTTTTATTTTGTTTACTTTATTTTCTCTTTTATTTATTTTTCTTTGTTTTGATTTCATTTGATTGTTGCACTTTATTTGCATTTTTTATATGCTTGTAGATATATAAAACTTAAAAATGTAGAAAATCAAAATGGAAAATAAAATAAAAATTGAAAATAATCAAAACAACTAAAAAATTAAAAATAAAAATGCAAAAATATTGGGAACATTTGATTTGGATTGGCTTTTGATGTTGGTTGAATGTTGATGGGAACAAAATAGACATGGATGATGGACTATGGTTGTTGATGTAGTTAGAAGGAGAATGGGCAAAATTTTCATTGGATTTGTGAATTATTGTGGGCGGTGTCCCTATTTGTTGAATGTGATTGATTCTATTTCATATATTGTTAAATGAATGAAATACATGAATTTGTTGTGTTTGAAAAATTTTGGGATGTCCATTTTTTAAGGGGAAACCGTGCCGGATTTTCGTAAAATTTTTTGAACTTTGTTTTTAAAATTCAAAAAAGGCATGTGGTTGATTTTTGGACTTGAAATAGAATTTGCAAAGAGTTTTTAAAAGTTAAAAGGATGAATTGAATTTTAAAAGAGAAAATTTCCAAGTCTTTGAAAAATGGTTTTGGAGTGTCAAGTTGAAAATGAAATGAATTTGGAATGATGTTTGTTGATTTGAATTGCAAATTTGAATGTCAAAATGAAATTTTTGTCTTGAGACTTAAAGGAAAGGAAAATTTCTTTGAACTTGAAATATTTTTGAACTTAAAGTGGCATTGAAAAATTGAAATGTTGTGAACATAGTGCTGTCTTGTTTCATTTACTTGTCATGAATTTGAAATGCATGGATGTGCTTTAAATTGTCTTAATTGATTGAAAGCATGACTTGACTTGAAATCGTACTTTTGAACTTGAATTTGCAAAGTCTTGTCTTAAATGCTCAAAGTGCTTCAAATGGACTTCTTTGAAAAGTTTTGACTTCTAATTGACTTTTACCCATGATTCAAGTGCATAGTTTTAGTAAAATGATTCTTGAATGTTTGATCACACTTGTTGGGTTTCAAATGATTAAAAAGGGAAATTTTTGAACCTTGTTTAAGAATAAGAAGTCGAGTTGCATGATTCCTTCTTTTGATGTTCATTCATTGCATGATTCTTGTCATAAAGCTTTTATACAATGCAATTGAATGTTTTGACTCAAAAAGTTTTCAAAAATTCCAATTTGACCCCAAAAGTGTTGAGTAATTCCAAAGTTGACCAAAATGCCCTTGTCTGAGTTGAAGCTTGTTCCATTTGATTCATTTCCATCCATTTGCATGTGATAACTGCCTTTGAACTTGTTGGTGATAAATTCTTGATTTTTGCCATATTAGGGCTCAAGTTTGATATATTTTAAGCATCCTTGTCATGATTTTGCTCTTCTCTGGTAAAATGACTAATTGCGTTCCAACCCAACTTTTTGAAGTCATATGATTCCATTGTTGCCTATAGACCTTGAAACTTATCAAATGTGATTTCTTTTGAATAATTGTGTGCACTTTGAGAATAATTGCAACTTGTTGCTTGTATAAACACCATTTTGCACACACTTATGTCACATTGACACTTTTGAGCGTTTCTGTGCATTCTTTGAGCCTATCTTTTTGGAATTGATTTCTAACTAATTTTAGGGCTGTGTAATGCCAACGTGAGATTAAAATGCATGATTTGGATGTAGTTTCTATTCTTTGGCTTTAGTCTCACTTTCCGAGCTTTAATTAAATTTTGAAATGAAATTTGAACCAAGTTTGGGAATATGAGTATATTCTCTGGATATTTGTCTGTTAAATGCCATTCAATATCATGACCTTATGATTCATTTCTAAGAGCCAAGTAAGGGCTTATAACCGAGGTTCTTTTTGGTCCAGATTTTGATTCCACTATGGTAAGTTTCTTGTATTCTCAGTTTTTGATTCTCTGCTTCATTTAAACCTTAGAGGGGGTCATGAGCCATGAGTGATCATAGGCCGGACTTTGCTTTTGTTGCATTGCAGTACAGGATATTTCTTTATCTGGAGTTTTTGTTGATATATGTGCGTCATTCTGATATATGCCATCTAGTTACATACCATGTCCAGGATTCTTTCTTGCACTTGCCCGTCATAACATGCTTTGATTGTAGTGTTTTGCAACCATGCACTTCAGTTAGTCTTTATTACATGACATGCCTGCTTCTTGAATCCCAGGTTAACATTTACCATGATTATCCATGCTTTTTGTTATCCTGTTTACTCCATTTGATCTTAACTATTCCATTTATAGAAATTCTTGCTTAGGAATTGATACGATGTCATCCTAGGGTCTACTTGTCATGTTATTGCAGCATCTACTTGAGTTTTTGGATCGTGAATGCACGTTGCATCATTTATCCACATCACAGCCTACGGTTGCCCTGTTGATCATATTTCTGCTTAAAATATTCCATATGTGACTTTTCTGCCCTCCATGCCGTCATTGCATATCTAAGATTGCTTATTGTGCTTTGATTTGTTCTGTCTAGCTGAGGCATGTAGAATGATAATCTTGAAGCTTTCTTAATCATTTCTTGCACAAGCATGATCTTACTTGTCTATTTGCTATTTCTATCTGATTCAGGCATGCTTTGTGTTTTCTTATTAGTTGCTTACCTTGTTCTATACTTGTGCACCAACTTATTCTTCTTGCTTTTGCAGATGCAACGTAGACGAAAAAATCTTGCTAGAAAGCGAGTACTAAGAGCTCCATAGCCTCCATCTCGAGTGGCAGAGTCTTCTTCATCGTCTTCATCTTCTGCATCAGTCCATTCTGAGCCATTTTCTATGGATACCGAGCATACTATTATTCTAGAGGTTCCTGCTGAGTCTTACTCCCGTAAGATGCAGGAGCCCGAGTACAGATTTGACCGTGATCTTTTCTCTGCATTGGACCAGACCAAGTGGTCCTATGATGAGCTGGTTCAGAGGGGCATTGATGCTATTATGACACCAGTAGATACAGTTGTATATCCCCGGTTGGTTGTACTATTCTACCAGCACCTCCGAATGGACGACACCATTGACGGCCAGGAGATTAATATTTCTCTCCCGGCCATAGCTGCTGCTTGCCAATGCCCCCACTCATCCCCATTGGTTGTTGATTCTCAGGATCCATTATATCCTACTGCTCCACCTTTTCCACCTGAGTAGACCATGGTCGCTGCATTATTTCCACATGCTGCATTTAAAGGCCACACTTTTGTAGATCGGGTTGAGATTGATCACCGGTATTGGTTCTTTGATTCAGTGTTGCACCTCAATGTTTTGCCATCAGGCCATGGTACTCAAAGGTGGGAGGGATCTTTTAGGCTCTTTACTATTTAAGCCAGGGTTACTGGATTTCTATACCTACACTCATTTGGTAGCTTATCCAAAAGTTCTAGAAGAATCTGCATCATACGTAGTGTAGTGACCCGGTCATTTTCCTCCCTTTCTTTTTTCTGAAATTTTACGGATAAATTTTTTCCGTTTAATTTTCTTTTCCGAGTTCAGTTTCTCATCTCATAGTGTCATCTTTAGTGCTCAAAAATGGTTTCTGAGACTCATTTGGATTGACAACTTCCTTTGAGAACCGAGTCATTTCCACATTTTCACTTTTCAGACATTATTCACTTTTGTCCTTTTCCCTATTTCGTCTTTCTACCTATTCTGTTTTCCCCGTTTGTCACTTTGTTGTCAAAACCTCACTTTTCAGGTTCCGACTTAGTATTTGACTTCACGTGTCTTCATCCTCAGTGATTTCCACGAAATACGTATCTTTACTTTTGCAAGAAAGTACTTTAGTTGCTCCCAGTGACCATAGGGGCATGGATGCACAATTCTTCAAAATCTTTTTCTTTTCTTATGGTGTTTTTCGTAAATATCTTTTGAAGATATTTTATTTCAGGGGTTTTTAAGAAAATATTTTTGGAAGATATTTTCATTCTGGGGCATTAGTGCAGTTTTTACTTTTTGGAAGGGCTATTGTGCAATTAACGAAAGTTATTGCAAATATACCTCGTCTGGAGCCTGGATCCTCGTATGGGATTCATTTTCACATTTCGTTGAGTCGTGTACTCTTAGAATTCCGTTCTGGTCATTTTTCTCCAGTTTCAGAGTTTTTGACCCTAGTTGTTGCCGAACTTATTCGGGGCATATTTCTCTGCTCGGGACTCAGTTTTTGACACTGTTTCTTTTTTTGTTCATGTTTTCTCATTTTGAATCTTTTTCGTTCATAGAGTTTCACCGTTTGAGTACGTCTGCTCAAAATCCACTTTTCTGGACCTCGCGGGGCACTTTTTGAGATTTTCTATAAATTTGGGACTTAAAGAAGAAAAATCAGATTTTCTTCTTCTTCTACCTCTCTTGGCCGGCAGCAATGGATGCCCATGGGGCTGCCACCTTTTCTTCTTCTCCTCCACTTGATTTCCTAAGTGAAAAGTCTTTGGCCTTAACGTTTGTTGTTCGCCTAGTCGTGCTCTACCTTTCAGCCTTATTAGAACCCATTTCTGACCAAATTTTGAGTTCAGGTTTGAAGTCAAGTTGTGATTTTCATGGGGCTTCTTGGGGATTCTTGTTCATCGTGTTGTCCCAGACAAAACCCTTCGATATCGTCGGATTCAGAGCACTTTTATTTCGGTAAGTTTTTGAGATTTTCATCTCAAATAGAGGTAGGGGGTGTTATAATTTATATTCTTGTTATATAGCATGATATTGATGCTTATAATACTTGTTTACATACTTAAATATAAAATCTAGTGATTTTATTATTTAATTTTCTTGAATGAGATTTGATTTTCCTGGTTGTCCATAGTTTGTTTTAAATATGTGGCATGATAGGATATTACCCCTTGACATGATCATTGACATATATTAAATTGAGAGCTTTTGGATAAGTAATGAAGTTTTTATTTAATATTTATCTTAAGTGAAATTTTAATTCATGTGGCCTTAACTAGTTTGAAATCAATGTGTGTTAGCATATTATATTAGGCCCTAGCATGCCCTTCAACATAGATGAATTTGAGAGTAATCGGAGGTGTTTTAAAATCTAGAGAATATTTAATTAATTGATTAATTAATTTATTCCATGTGTACTATTCATCTCATTTGAATTCCGACTTGATATTCTTGATATGTATGTTATATAATTTCATATATATTAAATCTAGAATATTTGATTTCGTTTTGAAACCTTTCATTTATTATTTTTCTAGTGTTAAAGTTTAATACTCATGGCCGTGTCTTGCTTAGAATTCACTTGTATCATATTTTTAAATCAAGTCTTGACATGTTGTATAACATATAATAAATTGAGATCATTTGGATGAATTTCAAAATCTAAAGATTTTAAGTAAATGAATTAATTAAAATCAATTCAATGGCTCCTAGGTCTAGATTAAGTTTCTAACTTGGCATTCATGATTTTCATGACAAGTTCCTTCACGTGTAACAATTTGAGAATAACCGGATAAGTTTTGAAACTTCTATTTAATTATTTCCTTTGTATGGGACTTAATTCACATGGTCGTATATCGTATGAAATGAACTTGTAACTTGATACTAAACTTGTCCTTGACATGACCATTGACATGCCTTATTCGGGGAATAATTGGACTTGCCTTGTAATCTTGACAATTTAATCCCTTAAGTAGATTAAATTTCCTTATATGCTTCCATCGCGTTAATCATGCTTTGATATTGAACTCGTGTTAACTTATGAATTGGACTTGTATTTCTTGTACCTTCATCTTTTTATCAAGCATCGTGACTCCTTGTAGCTAGGTTTCATTAATGTATTTAATGAACATGCACATTTGTCTTGGAATGGTTTAATTACACGTGTTGTTTAGTGAGTAATTGAATCATCTATCTTATACTTGTGGTATATTTACTTCAATAGATTTCATGTGCTATATATATCTTGGTTCTAGTCTATATAGATGTACACTATGATTTCTTGACATTTCACATACCATCATATTTGAGAACTTAGGGCATGACTTATGTGTTCCAAAATCTTAGTTGTGCATGAAACGTGGTTAATGCATTTCTTGTATTTTTATACTATCTTGGTTTGCACAACTTGTTGATTTTGGGACTTGGGATATCAATCAAGAATTGACATGGCTAAGACTTGGTTCTAGTACGGGGGAATGTCCTCCTACACTATTGTGTGCACTAGGGGAAAGGTACCCATGGGTTAGTAGACCTAAAATGATCTCAAGAATACGGTTTTAATCCGGGCGTTATCCGAGTTTCCACATTGGTTGATTTTACTCCTTAAATTTTAAGTTGCTATTCCTTGAAGATTTCAACTTGTCGTGTATGTGAAATGCACCAATCTTGGTTCATTACATAGATTTTATGCTTCATTCGTGATTTTATTCCTTAAATTTCAAGTGTTGCATTCATTGAAGATTTAAAACTCTTTTCATGTTATATGGAGTATTCTATCCTTGTTTAAATACATTGATATTATGCCTTGTTCTTGATTTCATGTATAACTTTTTTCGTGTTTCATGGAATGTCCCATCCTTGTTTAACTGCATAGATATTATTCCTTGTTCCTGATATCATGTATTACTCTCAATCATGTAAATTGCATTTGATAATGTGATCCTAGTATTCTAGTATTCGTCTTATCGTGTTCTTGGATTATCCTGACTTGATTTGTTTCATATATGTATATATATACCATGATTCGTGTCGATATCATCCTATGGTAGCTTTGGATGCTCCCTGAGTCTCACTCTTAACATAGACATTAGGTGGCATGACTCTTTTAAACTATTTCATGTTAGTCTAAAAATCTCTAAAGAAATCGAGTCAATGCATGCTCATTCTCTACGAGTAAACTTGTTTACTCACCCTGGAGTTAAAGGGAGATTTGTTCAGGTACGAAGACTTGGTTCGTGATGCTTGTCGTTCATTGGGATAGCTTGTAGCTTCGAGTTTCCATTTCATGCTAGTGTTAGCATGAAATATCATTTAGTAGCCTCATGTATCAAACTTGTATTCTTTGATTTCATTTATGTAATGTGTACATAGGTACACTCTTTTCATTGTATTCCACATGTATAATATGAGGCCAAGGGCCAAGCATGTTTATATTTGTACTTACACTCATTTGGTGCCACATTTTGTTTTGAAATGTATTTTTTTTTATCAACCATGGAGGTTTGGCATGTCAAACCTTGTAAATGGAATGTAATGAGGCCGTAGGCCATTGTAACATGTTTAAAATCTCATATTACACTTGCGTGTATGTTCACATCATCACACATTAGTTTATAATGCAAATTGATCATGCCATGGGGATTTCAATGAGACTTATGAATTCTTTCATCATTTGGTGCATAGTAGGCTGATTCTTAGTTTTTCGACCTATTTTGATCGACCGATGGCTTACTTCAGTCGATCAATTCTCCTTTAGTTTCATTTGTTCACCAAATCTTCCAACTCCAGTAGCCATTTTCCCTATCGAGGCCTATTTTTGTTGACCGGTTCTCTGTTTCAGTTGACCGAAACTCATCTTTTTATCTCGATCCCCAAATTGGTCGACCGGTTTGTCACTTCGGTCGACCGAACTAGGAGCTCTTTCTTCTCTTTTCTCCTGGCTCATTTCGGCAGACCGATGCTCCATTTCGTTCGACCAAAATGGAGCTTCCTTATGAGTTTGTTTGGTTTGTTGCCTAGACAGGTTAACCTTGTTTCATTCACTCCCACTTGACCTTGTTCATCTTGTTTAAGCCATTTAATGGCGTACGTGATCCAGTTTGAACTAGATATTGTCCTCTTAGGTGTCATTGGCGCCATAGGATCTCATTTAACCTTTTTGTCGTAGTTTCCGCTTCTAGTTATTTCTTTGGGTTCCGTGACTTCATGGAAGGTCACATTTGTGTCTGAGAGATGATTTATATCTCGTGAGACTTGGTTTATCTTTTGCTTCCGCACCTACTTTGTTTGAGTTCCTTGACCTCATGGAAGGTCATCAAAGTGTCTTAAAGGCGTGTAGTGCCTTAGGAGACCGTTGTCTTGTTTCTTACTTCCGCATCTGGATCTGTTATGAGGTCAATCTTCAGTTCATCACTGACCTACCGGGTTGAATCAAAACTAGGGTCGTTACAAGTGGTATCAGAGCGTCCGGGTTCGAATACCTTGGACGACGGGTTTTGGGTGCATATCATGCTTGTGTTGCCATGCTCTAAATGTTTAAAGGCTTTTTGAAAACATATCTTGTATGATAACATGTTCACACACTTAGGTGTTTTGAGACATCTATTATTTGTTAAGGATGCTTGATGTGTATATATGCTTCTTGATAACATGATCTGGATTTCTATTATTTGTAGGCATGCCTTACGTTTTTCATTCGCGTGTGTTATCGTACCATGCCTTACGTGCTTCTTAATAATATGTTTCGATTTGATAACATGTCTATTTGCTTATGTGGTAACTTGTTTAGAAGCTTATCTTAACTGTCTGGTTTTGGCACTGTCACTTAGGATCTATCGTATTCTTTGGATGCGTACTTGTTTCACGAGTTTCTCCTCGGATAGGAGAAATTCATTCTGTCAGGATCCATGTCGGGAACCTTCTTGTCTGTTTTCTTGATTGGGTGTTTCGATACCTTAGTTGTCGGTTGATGCGAGTAAGGCTCATGTGAGCATAAAGGATTGCGATTCATTTCTTTTTCCTTGTCTGGTGGGATGAGACGCGTGCCAGGGAGGCACCGTTTTGTTTCCTTTTCTTTCGTGGCTTCTAGATCTAAGGCCTTAAGCGTAGCGGTACATATGACATTGTTGTCAGAGATTTGGGATTAGCTACCCCAACTCTCGCAGATGCCTGGTTTCCGTAGTGCTTTTGGTAAAGATCATCTCTGACATTGTCGTCATCCGTATCAATAAGTTTTTCAGAGTTGATTTGGTTGGGGCATCTTCGACATCTTCGACACTGACGAGTAAGTGTGGGCGGATTCTGGTTACTATCCATACTACCTTGTCACTCTTTCCTTTTATCGTGTTTCAACGTTTCGTTCTCTTGGGATTCTCTCAGTGGTTGACGTTGAGTTAATGTGCCGATTCGTATGAGGTGTTGTCACAGTTCATGGTTTTGCGTTCTTTCAGTTGATCTTGAAATCTCTAGGGTTGTCCTTCAGTGCTTTATGAGCTGTCCTTGGTTTAACCTTTTGTTCGGTCCTTGCTCTATTTCGTTCTCCTGTATGTTCCGAATTTCGGGGATGAAATTCCTTTGAGGAGGGTAGGTTGTAGTGACCCGGTCATTTTCCTCCCTTTCTTTTTTCTGAAATTTTACGTTTAAATTTTTTCCGTTTAATTTTCTTTTCCGAGTTTAGTTTAATTATCCTAACTTGATTTGTTTCATATATATATATATATATATATATATATATATACCATGATTCGTGTCGATATCATCCTATGGTAGCTTCGGATGCTCCCTGAGTCTCTCTCTTGACATAGACATTAGGTGGCATGACCCTTTTGAACTATTTCATGTTAGTCTAAAAATCTCTAAAGAAATTGAGTCGATGCATGCTTATTCTCTACGAGTAAACTTGTTTACTCAACCCGAAGTTACTGGGGGATTTGTTCAGGTACGAAGACTTGGCTCGTGATGCTTGTCGTTCATTAGGATAGCTTGTAGCTTTGAGTTTCCATTTCATGCAAGTGTTAGCATGAAATATCATTTGGTAGCCTCATGTATCAAACTTGTATTCTTTGATTTCATTTATGTAATGTGTACATAAATACACTCTTTTCATTGTATTCAACATGTATAATATGAGGCCAAGGGCCAAGCATGTTTACATTTGCACTTGCACTCATTTGGTGCCACATTTTGTTTTAAAATGTATTTTTTTATCAACCATGGAGGTTTGGCATGTCAAACTTTGTAAATGGAATGTAATGAGGCCGTAGGCCATTGTAACATGTTTAAAATGTCATATTACACTTGCGTATATGTTCAAATCATCACACATTAGCTTATAATGCAAATTGATCATGCCATGGGGGATTCCAATGAGACTTAGGAATTCTTTCATCATTTGGTGCATAGCAGGCCTGATTCTTAGTTTTTCGACCTGTTTCGGTCGACCGATTCTCCTTTGGTTTCATTTGTTCATCAAAATCTTCTAACTCCAATAGCCATTTTCCCTATCGAGGCCCATTTTGGTCGACCGGTTCTCTATTTCGGTCGACCGAAACTCATCTTTTTATCTCAAGCCTCAAACCGGTCGACCGGTTTGTCACTTCGATCGACCGAACTGGGAGCTCTTTCTTTTCTTTTCTCCTGGCTCATTTCGGCAGACCGATGCTCCATTTCGGTCGACCGAAATGGAGCTGCCTTTTGAGTTTATTTGGTTTCTTGCTTAGACAGGTTAACCTTGTTTGATTCGCTCCCACTTGACCTTGTTCATCTTGTTTAAGCCATTTAATGGCATACGTGATCTAGTTTGAACTAGATATTGTCCTTTTAGGTGTCATTGGTGCCATATGGTTTCATTTAACCTTTTTATCCTAGTTTCCACTTCCGGTTATTTCTTTGGGTTCCGTGACTTCATGGAAGGTCACATTTGCGTCTGAGAGATAATCTATATCTCGTGAGACTTGGTTTATGTTTTGCTTCCGCACCTACTTTCTTTGAGTTCCTTGACCTTATGGAAGGTCATCAAAGTGTCTTAAAGGCATGTAGTGCCTTGGGAGACCGTTGTCTTGTTTCTTGCTTCCGCATTTGGATCCATTATTGGGTCAATCTTCGGTTCAACACTGACCCACCGGGTTGAATCAAAACTCGGGTCATTACACATAGAATTCTAGAGCTGCGACTTGGCCTTTATATTATGGCCATCTGATTGCACAGTTGCTCCTGGATTAGGGTTACCAGTTTGACCCAGATGAGATTCCTGAGGCTGATGCAGAGAGGGAGAAGAGAGCATATGATCAGGCTAGGTCGACAAAGACTTACATTTCCTGCCTTAAGAACAGGAAGAACAGAGACATGAAGAGACGGCTTGATAGAGAGAGAGCAGTAGCAGAGGCAGCTCCAGAGGATGATGCTGCAGACAGATCTCCCCCCAGACAGAGGCGTTGCATTATGACTTTAGGTTCTACCTCACAGCCGAGTGTGCCCACTGCATCTTAGCAGGTTGGCCCTTCTCATGTCCCTCCCACCAAGCTGATAGCACAAACCGACACTCGATCCCGCCATACTAGTACTGATTTTAGCTATAGATCCGAGGTAGCTCGGCTGCACATAGACTTTATTTCTTTTAGAGCAAATATAACTAGGCAGCATAAGGATGTCACGAGCTGGCATGATGACCTGGTGAGGAGACATGATGATCTAGTAGGGAGACACGATGATTTAGTCAGGCGAGCTAATGACCAGCGGGCCGATATAGCTGCGGTGAGGTGTGAGCTGAGAGCATTGAGGACAGACCTTACCACTTCTCTCACTCGCTATAGCAATTAGATGTCTGATATGTTGTAGCACATTGCTGACATGATGACTCCAGATCCTATTACATAATTCTTCCATTCTCTCTCCTACTCATTATCTGCCATTAATACTTGTACTGTTATTGCTGAGATATTTTTGCACTATATTGACACTTACACTGGTTTTTGATAGTTTTGATATTTTGGGAAATTATTTCTTGCACTGCACCTCATATACATTGCTTTTGGATATATGGTTTTGGATTTATTTGCTATCTATGGATTTTTGGGATTTTGATATTAGTTTTGGATATTCTGAGTTTTACACTGCTAAATACCATGATTTTTGCCCAGTTCTTCGTTTTACCTCTCATTTATATCATGGATGCATATGCTTTGATAGTTGTTAGTGTGACCATTTTTAGACAGGTTTTCAGAATCCAAGTTTAGGGGTACGCCTTCTAATGCTAAGCTTCCGCTATCTAGTCCCTTTTGTTTCATGATGAGCTCTAAAAAGTGCACTTTTAAACCCCCTTAAGCTTAGGTATTCTAGAACCTTTATCTATCTTATTTTTTCATTTTAGACTAATTTCATGTTATTGCCGTTTTTAGGTGCTTATACCAAAAATAAGCTAACTCAGCCAAATAAGCGCTTAATTGAAGC